CCTCACAAGGGTCTCTATTATCAATTTGTGAATCTGATATTTCCACATGTAATCTTCAACCCCTTAGTAAGAGTCATTTAACATTTTAATGTTTTTATATATACACACACACACAGACACAACACATACACACACACACGCATGAACAACTTGGTGTTTTTAAATTGTGCAAAAATTTAGAGTATTGGTTAACAGGCACATTAAAAGTTAAAATAAAGGAAGAAAGAGATCAATGCAAAGTATTTGTAAAGACATCATGAATACTGTTTCTAGTTTGCTCTGAATAAACATTTGGTTTAAAATACCATCAGCTGAAAGGGACAACATAAAGGTGTTTTTTTTGACACTTTTTTTTTTTGATTCCCTGAAAGATTTAGATCTACCTTTTAACTGAAGGTTAACTGAAATGTCAAGTCTAGTTTTCCCTGGTTTTAATATAGGACCTCTCAGTTACGATGTCTATGACCTGTCCTGTAAAATGATCCATGTAGTCAGATCCCTGTTTACAGCTCCATAATAATAAGGGTCCGTCCATGAGAAAAAGCTCGTAGGACTAAAGTTTAACATTCTAAACGAAGGAGTAGGGGTAATGAAATTTACCAAAAGCCACCTTAAATCCAAAATGTTAAAATTAATTTAGCTTCAATTATAAATTAACAGCATTTTAAAATAGTCTGACTAAAAATTCCTACTCCATTCAATTGCTTAACATTTACTCTTGACGCCTATGATATAATCATTTTGCTAGGAGTCCAGACTAGAAAGGACTAGAAAATTGCTAATGGAAACAAGTGGAGGTAATGGGTGGGGAGGGAGTTTTTTGAGGGGTGGGGCAGTTTTTCAGGTCTTTCTTATATGTTATAAAGAAGCATAAATGGGCACATACCCATTATTCATTTTGGCAAGGTACCTTTCAAAATTTTGAGGGAACAGCCTGATTTTTAATTTACAGTGGTTACAAATAACAGTACTCTGTGCACCTGACAACATAAATGATGTCAATTACCTTCATCCACATCAATTGCTGAAATCAGAATATGGGCCCTTGTCACCCTGCGCCTAAAGAAGGTGACTGTCAAACCTACAAATTTGAAGCAACACAAGCGCTTTAAAAAAAAAAAAAAGCGCAATTGAACTGCTGGCTGCCCCTGACGCGGACGCTTCTACCCCGTTAATGCGCAGTGCCCAGGACGCCCGGAAACCCCGGGGGGTGGGGGTTACCCTGCCGGCCCGCGACCCCTCACCGCTGCCAAGGGCGGAGGAAACACCTTTGATCCGTGGGGCTGGGAACGCGGCTCCCCCGGCCTGGCTAAGGCTCCGCAGCGTCCCGGAGCCGCTTCGACGGAGGCTGCCCGGACATTAGGTGACGGGGGGCGGCTGGGGCCTTAACTCGGCGCATTTGTTTCGGCGTCACGGGGGGGCTGAAAATCACCAAATTACGCGTGACCCCCGGACAGCCCCCAGGGGCGGGGCCCGGGTCCCTCTCCCCGGATCCAGGCTGACCCCGCTCGCCCCGCCCTGAGCAGGATCGCCCGGTTGGTTCGCGGGCCAGGCGGGGAGCGGCTGCCGCTCACAGACACCCCCTTCCCCGCCAGGATCCCAGCCCGGGCAGGTCACTGAGCCAGGCCCGCGGAGGGGCAGGTGCCAGCCCGGGAGGCGGGGTGGGAGCCAGGCCCCGGGAGGTCTCCAGGGCAAAGAAGCGGACATGGGGCCGGTGGTTCCCCCGCAGCGCCGCGCTCCAAGGGGGCGGGAGTCACCTTGTGGCAACGGCGGGGACTCCAGCGTCGCTTCCCCCCGACCGCTCGCGGAAGCTCCGGCCCTTAGCAACTAGCCACGCGCCTGCTGCACCCTCTCGCGGCCTCCTAGCAACATCGCGAGAGGCCTGGCGGGGCGGGGCGACTGAGGCAGGGGCTGGGTGGGAGGCGGGTGGGAAGAGCAGGGACACGGGACTCTGAGGCGGCTCCGAGCTTGGTGGGACCATTGTGCAGGAGGGAGGGAAGACACCGCTGAGTGACACATACCCTAAGCCACCCCACTTCCTCCCTCTCCCCATCCCACTTATCGCATCTGGTTGCCTTCTCCAAACGTGAGAGCGAGCTCTGTGAAGCTTGTCCCTTCCAGCAGAAGTTGGTGCAATACAGCATATTATCTCTCTCTCCCACTTTGTCTCTTTCATATCCTGGGACCAACAGGGCTACAACAACGCTGCACATATCTCCTGCTTTCAGCCACACTCTCATGCTGTCAGTTTTCTCCGGGAATCTCCTGATATCTGTTCTAGATCATTGTGCAAAGCAGAGGAAGTCTGTCTCTGTACAGTGTCGATCTGCTCTCTTCCCTGTCTGCCCTCTAAACACTTAGGGAATTTTTCTGCCCCATACACCCAGGCCGACAAGGGGCGGGGGTGGAAACCGGTACAAATTACTGAGGCCCGGCAGTCCCGAAGGGGGCCCGGGGCCCGGCTTCTCCCCTCCCCCCCCTCCCACCCCGCTTGGTCAGCCCTGTTTAGCCGGTCTGCCCTTGCTGGGGGGCCCAAAAAAATTCCGGGCCCGGCTTCCCCCCCTCCCCCACCCTCATTGGCCCTGTTTAGCTGGTCCGCCCTTCACCAGAGCCCGAACCCACTCTCGGTGGCCCTGCATACACCCACTCTTTATCATAAAGTAATGGCAAGAGAGCAGAAGTCATGGGTTACTTTTGCCCATGGGTCAGTAATTTGGAGAACTTTCCAGGGAAGGCCAGAGTTTATGGAAGAACAACCAGACACTACCTAAAACAATTTCAGAAAAATCTGTTCTCGGAATTTCCAACATTATGGAGTACAGACTCAGGCCTGCCCACCCTCACTCAGATGAGAAGCTAGTGGACCCGATTATCCTGTCCCTTACTTTGCTTTTACATTGGTGTGATTCGTTTGATTTTAGTGCTATTAGTACAGATTTACACCAGTAGGAGAGCAGATTCAGGTACAATGGGGCTACCTGCACGTACAAGGATTTATAGTGTCATAGGACAACAGAATTTTCCATGAGAAGAGGGAAATATTATAACAAGTGCATTAAAATTGATACTTACTGAGATTTTCTTTCCTTCAAGTAAGTGAGCACCAAGCAAGAGTGGAAGCAGGACTGCACCATAAACTTTAATTTCCATATCATTTTTCAGCAGATGGTTGCAATAAACAATACAGTGATATGATACAATACATGTACATTATGGAGAAAGAGATAAAGTTGATAATTATTTATTAAATTTCATGCTACATAAATATAATTCTATTTTTAAAACTTGAATATTTTATTCAAAATGTAATCATTTTATTGATTATCAAATTATCAGTGTTACTGGTATTCTTTTTAAGACCCTGATCCTGCAAATGACTGGGCAAGCTTTAAGTCAAGAGGGCTCTGCACGTATGAGGAATTCACCTGCATGGACTCACTTGCAGGTTAGGGTCAAAGTGATCAATATGTACTTACTAATTATCTGTAAAAATTGGTGATAAAAAATAAATAATGTATCAGATTGAAACATCCACTTGTCCTATCAAGTAGGATTTAAGAAACTTCCTCAGGTGCATGCATGACAGCTGTCAGCAGTGAAAGGAAATTGACAATATTTTGGCCATTCACACTGCCTGTTCCTAACAGGCTTGGGAAACACGGTAAAACTAACTGAAGTCTTGTCAGTTTCTGGCTTTCAATCTGCAGTCATTTAAGAAGCTAGATGAGCTCCTGCAGAAGTTAGGAGGATGAAACAAACTGGGCAGGAGGGAGAGGAAGAGACTAGAAGGAAGACCCCAAAAATGATGGTAAAGGGAATATAGTTTCAAAGTTGTGACAACTAAGGCCTGGTCCACACTAAGCCCCCAGTTCGAACTAAGATACGCAACTTCAGCTACGTGAATGACATAGCTGAAGTCGAAGTATCTTAGTTCAAACTTAAAGGTACTTACCACGGGTCCACACGCGGCAGGCAGGCTCCCCCGTCAACTCCGCCTACTCCTCTCGCAGAACAGGATTACCGGCGTCAACGGTGAGCACTTCTGGGATCTAGACAAGACGCGATAAATCGATCCCAGAAGATCGATTGCTGGCCGCCGAACCAGCGGGTAAGTATAGACGTACCCTAACAGTCAGCTTAATAGGGAAGGTACAGGCACCTAACTCACCGACTCTCACCTTTCTTAGCAGCTGGAGAAGGATGCTGGGCATCTTACTTGCTCACTGCCCTTGGCACCTGCTAGCTTTCTCCATATTTTCCAGACTGTCCCTGCCTATCAGTTTCTGATAGACTTTTTAAGTCTTGATAATAATATAGGATTATATTGTACCCCCTTCATTAAAAATCTGTGGGTGAGTAAGCTTCATAAGGTTCACTTTCAAGATTTTGCTTGGAATGTTCCTATCAAAGTGTTACCAGAAGATTTGAGACCAATTATATCGAACCAATGAGTTTTCCTAAAAACACTGCTTTTAATTTAAAATCTTTATTCTTAATTTATCTATTCCGGTAATTAAGGAATTTCCAGGGAAAGCAGTGGCAAGCTAACTTCCCTTGAAAGGACATAAATACAGCCTTCTGATCAAGAATGGACAGTTAAGCAGTAAATCTTTGAAAACAAAAGTAATATTTATTTAGAAGTGAGTGGTTTCAGTGAAAGAATAGAAATAGATATAATAGGGTTACGGTTAAAAAGGGAATGAAACAGCCCGGCAAATAAAAAAGGCAACACTATAATAACAATTTCAATTAACTCTATGGCATATAATTATATAACAGTAGAATCATTCATTTACTACTCTATACCTTATAACAATATAACAATCAAGCATGTTAATTAAACATTCAATATTAAATACTTAAACTAAGCATCTTGTAAGCACTGGCCTGGCGGTTACTAAATGGGTAGGAGCAGATCTCACCACAAACATCCAGCTTATTTACACTTGAGGCCTATACATTCTACAATGGTAAAATAAAAGAAAGACTGGACTTATAAGAGCTTTCTTAACAATCCCTCTGAATCATGTTAGAGGTCCTTCTGCTCTGTCTATGCCAGGGATCTCAAACTCAATTTAGCTTAGGGCCAGTGCCAGTCCTCAAATAATATTACTCATGCCACCCAGAACCCACTCCCCAAAACTCTGCCCCCCCCAAAACTCCACCCCCCCTCCTGCCTAAGGTTCTGGGAAGGTGTTTGGGTGGGGGAGGAGGTCTGGGGTAGGGGATTGGTGTGCAGGCTCTGGGAGGGAGTTTGGGTGCAGAAGGGGTGAGAGGTTGGGCTCTGGGAGGGAGTTTGTGTCTGGGGTGCAGGCTCTAGGATGGAGTTTGGGTGCTGGGTGCAGGTTCTGGCCTGAGGCAGGGGATGGGGGCGCAGGAGGAGGGGGTGGGGTTGCAGGCTGTGGGAGGGAGTTTGGGGGCGGGATGGTGTGTATGGGAAGGGGAGGGTGCAGGCTGTGGGAGGGAGTTTGGAGGCAGGAGGAGGGGTGTGGGAAAGGGTGTGGGTGCAGGCTCTGGGCTGGGGTAGAGGGTGGGAGTGCAGGAGGAGGGGTTGCAGGCACTGGGAGGGAGTTTGGAGGTCGGGGTGTGGGAAGGGGGAGGGGGTGCAGGCTCTGGGAGGGAGTTTGGGGGTGGGAGGGGTATGTGGGAAGGGGTGGAGGTGCAGGCTCTGGGAGGGGGTCGAGGGGTGCAGCGCTTACATGGGGCTCCAAGGCGGGACGGGGGGGCCTCTGCACACTGCTGTCCCCAGGCACCGCCCCTGCAGCTTCCCATTGGCCGCAGGGGCAATGCGCAGAGGCACAACCCCACCCTGCTCCGGGACCGCAGGGAGTGGCCAGCAGACATGTGGAGTGAGCAGGCAGACGCCACTCAGCTCCACTGCGCTGCCGGGGCCCCGGGCCATTGTAAATCGCCTGGGGGGGGAGAGCGCCCGGGGGCGGCAGGTGGGGCCAAGGGAGAGACCCGGCCCTAAAACTGCTGGAGCCCCACAGGCCACATTGGGGAGGTTCACGGGCTGCAGATAGCCCACGGGCCGGGAGTTTGAGACCCTATCATTTGGGAGCAATGTTTAGGGAGCGCTGATGGCAATCTGTGCTATTGTTCAAGGGGCTGCCTGCTTCCACTGAGGTAAAGTTTCTCCTCAGGGAGCAGATACACAAGCCTGCTTGGCTGCTGCTGAGGTACAGAGGGTCACCTGTATATATTGGGGTTGCGTTCTTGAAAAGGTATACACAACGTATACCGGGGAATTGTTCCCCATAAGAAATAATGGAACAACAGGGGGATGCGTTCACAACTTCACCACGCTCACTATGACAATGCTTTTTTTGCCTAAACAGTGTGCCTTTTCGCAATGACAGGTTAAATAGTACACATTTTACACATAAAACATTTAATAAAATAATGTAGAACCCTACCATTCAAACACATAGAACATTTTAATACAGTAAATACAGTAGAGTAATATAGTATAAAACAGTGCCAATTACGTTAAACTTAGGTAGGGGTGGTGGCTGGATTTTCTTGGGCTGGCTTTTCTGTGGCTGACTTTTTGGTTGCAGAAATCTTAAAAAAGGATTTTATCAATGTCTGTTCTCCTGCATGAATCTTTGAACGATAGATATCCCTGTAGCAAGCCAGTGTATCATTGAGAGCCCTGGGGACGTTGGCAGACCATTCATGAAAAGGATCACCGTTCTGTATGATTTCCGTCATCTCATCCAGCAATCCAAAGAAACAGGAGAGATTCTTTGTTGTCAGACTCCTGGTTTCCTGCCCTACGTCATCATCATTGTCATCATCATCTTTGCTTTCTTCAGATATCCGTTGTTGGTCCAGCTCAATCCATTCCTCATTTGTCAGTTGCTCAGCGTGAGACTCCGGTACATCATCATCCTCCATCTCCTTGAAGCTGACATCCTTCGCCAACTTGACAATTTCTTGCTCAAGAGCAGGAATGGCATCAAATCTCACAAAGCTGTGGACGGCATCTGGGCATGCACAGCGCGAAATGCTGTTCATACATTGCAAAGTGACCTCTTCCCATGACACGTCAATGTTTTCCATGCTGTTCAAGATGTTGTAGGACTTCCAAAACTCCTTTACACTGGGCTTTCCTTCACCTGCCATCTCCTTAATCAGCATGGAGAACATCGTCCGTCGATAATAAGCCTTGAATGTGGCCATTACACCCTGGTCCATAGGCTGCAGCAATGATGTGGTATTGGGTGGCAAAAATAGGACCGTGATGTTCAGGCAGAGGGCTTCATAGTCCAGTTCATGGGCACTTGCATTATCCAGCAGAA